GTTGGCCGGCTACTATCGGAGATTTATCAGGGATTTCTCCAACATTGCCGTGCCTCTCACCAGGTTAACCCGGAAGGGTGTCGCTTTTTCATGGGGCCCGGAGCAGCAGACCTCGTTTGAAACACTTCGTCAGAGATTATGCGAGGCCCCAGTGTTAGCCCTCCCGGAAGAGATGGAGGATTTTATGGTGTATTGTGACGCATCGATACCGGGGTTGGGTGCAGTACTTAGAGGGCATGTGATAGCGTATGCATCGAGGCAGCTGAAGCCTCCTGAGACGAGGTATCCCACCCATGATCTGGAGTTGGGGGCAGTGGTGTTCGCCCTCAAGATCTGGCGTCACTATCTGTATGGGGTTCGGTGTACCATTTTACATGGACCACAAGAGCTTGAATTATTTGATGGATCAGCCCAACCTGAATATGCGCTAGAGGAGATGCTTGGATGTGGTAAAGGATTACGATTGCGAGATCCTGTACCACCCGGGCAAAGCTAATGTTGTAGCTGATGCCCTGAGCCGTAGGGCGGAGAGTGCCCCGATTCGAGACATTTGTATGATGTTGACGGTGATGACTCCGGTGTTGGACACCATTCGTGAGGCCCAGGCAGAGGCTGTGAGACCAGAGAACCGCAAGAGAGAGCGGGTGATTGGGCAGGTATCTGAGTTCGTTACCGATACTCGTGGGCTTATGATCTTTCAGGGTCGGATTTGGGTGCCGTTTTTGGGCGGGGCACGTGCCATACGGATGGAGGAGGCGCATAGATCGAGATTCTCGATCCATCCCAGGGCCACTAAGATGTATTTGGATATGAAGAAAGATTATTGGTGGCCCTGTATGAAGAGGGATGTAGCATGGTTTGTTGAGAGGTGCTTGACCTGTCGCAGGGTTAAGGCTGAGCACCAGCGTCCGCACGGCAAGTTGCAGCCACTTGAGGTTCCCCAGTGGAAGTGGGAACAGATTTCCATGGATTTTATCACCAAGTTGCCAAGGACGGCGAGGGGTGTTGATGCAATTTGGGTGATTGTCGACCGGCTGACGAAGAGCGCTCACTTCCTTGATATCAGTGAAGGGTCTTCTGCAGAAAGACTGGCATAGTTATATGTGAGGGAGGTGGTATCACGGCATGGAGTACCGATCTCGATTGTGTCAGATCGAGATGTACGTTTCACTTCCAGGTTCTGGAAGAAGTTCCATGAGGAGTTGGGCACGAGGCTGCATTTCAATACCGCTTACCACCCACAGACGGATGGACAGAGTGAGCGGACGATTCAGACGCTCGAGGACATGCTTCGGGCATGTGTGTTGGACTTCGGAGGAAGTTGGGACACGTATTTGCCGTTGGCTGAGTTTTCATATAACAACAGCCACCACTCGAGTATTGGTATGCCTCCCTTCGAGTTGTTGTATGGGAGGAGGTGTCGGACTCCTATTTGTTGGGGAGAGGTAGGGCAGCACGTGATGGGCAGCACTGAGATAGTGCTTTAGACGACCGAGCAGATACAACAGGTTAGACAGAGGTTGTTGACAGCCCAGAGTCGCCAGAAGAGTTATGCAGATAGGCGACGGTCCGAGCTCGAGTTTCAGGTCGGGGATTTTGTACTCCTGAAGGTGTCTCCTTGGAAAGGAGTAATTCGATTCAGGAAGAGGGGCAAGCTGGGACCCCGGTACATTGGTCCTTTTAGGGTGACCGCCAGGGTGGGCAGGGTAGCATACTGTTTGGAGCTGCCTACGGAGTTGAGCCAGATACATGATACCTTCCACGTGTCCCAGTTGAGGAAGTGTATTGCCGACGAGACGGCAGTGGTACCGCTGGAGGATATTCATGTGGATGCGATCCAGAATTACGTTGAGAGACCAATCGCAATAGTGGATCGGAAGATCAAGGTTCTGAGGAATAAGGAAGTGCCCCTGGTTCAGGTCCAGTGGCAGCATCGGAGAGGGTCCGAGCTGACTTGGGAGCCGGAGTCAGAGATGCGGGAGCAGCATCCGGAGTTGTTTGCGGCATGAGACTTCGAGGGCGAAGTATGGTTCAGGTGGGGGAGAATTGTAACATCCCGGAAATTCAGGTGCGTCTCTTAAACCCTTCTTCTTTTCCAATTTGTCAAGTTTAACCCCTAAGGGAAATATTAAGGCAAATGAGTACGCTGGGCGTACTGTAGAGTACGCTGTGCGTACTCATGCGCTTAAGTTGGACGCGGACTCGCCTAGGTACGCTGGGCGTACCCAGGGTTACGCTGGGCGTAGCGGGCCCAGATGCAAACCCTAAATGAGACTTGTGCCCTATAAAAGGAATGATAAGACCCTTACCCCAGCCACCATACTTCAGTGAGTGAAACCCTAAGAGAGCAAAAACTCGTCATAAGCTTGTGTGTGTGTTCTTAAGCTTCAAAGTGCAATTTCAAGGTGGTGAAAGAGAAGAGGAGGCCATTTTAGGAGCTAGAAGTTGGTGGACAAGAGTAGATCCGAATTCTACAGAGGTTGGAGCTTCTTTCTGAGGTAAAAAGCTCAAAGCTTTCCTTGTCATTTTTGATTTGTGCTTCTTGGACCAATTTTTAGGGTTTTTGGTCCTAAGGTGGAGACTTTATGAGCAAATGGTCTCCATTGGCCTAGATCTGCCATATTTCAGGGTAATATGAGTTGTATGTTCATAAAAATCCAATCTTGGACGTGAATATTGAGCCATGCATGAGATCTAGACTTTATGAGGAAGAAGGAAAGGTGTTAGAGTGATTAGGGACCTTTACAGCCATGCAAAGGCTTAACGGTCTCGACTTTATGGATTAAGTGATCTTAGAGAAGTCAGATCTAGAGTTTGAGTTTATGTCTTAACCGTTTAAGACCAAAAATCCAAGAAAGGCTGAAACTGAGACTTACGCTGAGCGTAACTCTCAGAACGCGCAGCGTAAGGGGTTGAGACCCCGATTATGGATCACCGGCGTACGCCCCGCGTACAGAGATGGTACGCGTCGCATACTGCCTCCTGTTGACTTTCGTTGACTCTTAGGGTTTTGGTCAACATTTGGACTTTTGGGTCAGGGAAGGGTAAAATGGTCTTTTACCCTTCTGTGGGATTGTAGGAAGGGATTTAATCTAGCCTTTGAGAGACATTATTTATTTTAGGATATTGTTTATGTGATTAGGCGGGGGCTAGATCAGTATATCCGTGTGCGAGATTATCTGAGTTACCCGAGGTGAGTCTTCTCACTATACATTACCTAGAGTGTTATCTATGTGTAGACCGGAGGATCTTATGTGCTATGTGTATGTATGAGATTTTGTGTTACGTGATATATGCATGTTATGTGTTGTATAGACCGGACCGGAGAGTCCAACGATATAGACCGGACCGAAGGGTCCAACGATACAGACCAGACCGAAAGGTCCAACGATACAGACCGGACCGAAGGGTCCAACGAGCTATGACCGGACCAGAGGGTCCAACGAGCTACGGGACTGGAGGGTCCCGCTGAAACACATCGACCGGAGGGTCGTACTGTAGCCTCGAGTGGCGTATGTGTTGTATGTGGTATTTTGGGGAACTTACTAAGCATTTATGCTTACCGTGTTGTGTGTTATGTGTTTCACGTACCAGTGAGGATCGCGGGAAGACGCCGGCATGATCAGTACACACTCATAGAGATTATGTTGAGATTCTGGGAATTGTTTTGTGTGTTGATGACATTGGATACATTATGTTTTGACATTGTTTTATTTTAAAAAAAAAAAGTATTATTAAAAATGAAAAATTGTTTTGGAAATTTACGTTGTTACAGTGTATGTGTATGTTTAGGTGTGTATAAGATAGTGAGATCAAAGTATTCAATATATAACAAGGTTTGACAAAATATGAAACAAAAAGGGCGACGTTTAAACCTCAAAAATGAAAAAATAAAAAATTCCTTAGGAAATCCCTCGGAAGTTCCTACGCATTTCCTGGGGATTTCCGACAAAAAGATTTTTTTTTTCAAGGTTCAAACATCGTTTTTTTCGGTCAATATTTTGTTTATTTTCATTATACATGAAGTATATTAATTTCACCAATATATATATATATATATATATATATATATATATATATATATATATATATATATATATATATATATATATATAGAGAGAGAGAGAGAGAGGTTTAGATTCTATGGAAAACAAAAAACCCTAAAAAACATAAAAATGCATAAAAAAAATACTTAGATATCACAAAACTTTTTTTTTTGAATTTTTTTAATAAATAATCGCAACTTTTTCTTAAAATTCGCTGAAAAAAAAAATCAATATTATTTTTTTTTTTGTAAATTTTAATTTTTTTTCAAAATTTCTTTCAGCGAATTTGTATAGAAAACTGCGATTTTTTCAAAAAAAAATTTTGTGATCTCTAAGTATTTTTTTTATGCATTTTTATGATTTTTAGGGTTTTTTTGTTTTCCAAATAACCCTTCCCTATATATATATATATATATATATATATATATATATATATATATATATATATATATATATATATATATATAGAGGTAAGTTATATTGAGAACACGTAAAAGGTTGAGAACGCGATAACAATTCATTTTTGTTAATTTGTCAAAATAATGTCCTTATAGTGTAAAATTTTAAAATACGTTTATTTCCTTAATTTATGCAATATTAAATTATTGTATTTGTTACTTTTAATTCGACTTATAACACATATCCCGAATTATTCGTACCTACCATCTTCATCTCCAAAATATCCGTCTTCTTTCCTTCACCCGTCTTCTTTCCTTCACCTTTCAATCGTTACAGTACAGTTCCAAGTTTGTGTCTTTTTTTATTATCCGATGATTTGCAAGCATCTTTAAGCTGGAATTGGGGGATCCTTCTACATCAGTTTGTTTCTGATTACATATCAATAATCTCGTAGTTTTTGGTCTTCGATGATATGCAACCAATGTGAAGCTGGAACATTGGGATTCTTCAAGATTACTTGCGTTTTATCGTTCAATATCGTCGATATAAAAGCTTATGGAGGTCGAATTTGAAGGAGGTTATGCAGTCAGGAATCGCACAAGAGGTAAGTTCCTTTTACGTCATTCAACATTTTTCATAAATTTAATCGGTATTGTCATCATTATGTTGTTAATTTCACTTGGTATCCAATGTTTTACATTAGTTTGCAATGTATACTTTCGATTTTGTCAAACGGTTCATGGAAGATTTTTGACCTATGTTCTCACTTATATGTTCACTGTTAACTTTTTTTTTCTTTTTTAATCATATAAATCGATTTGCATAAGGTTGAATGGTGTTATTGGCATCACTATGTTGTTAAATTCAACTGCAAATCATCGATTGAGTTGAGTTTGCAATGTAGATGGGTTGATTAGGTAAATATGTTGACAGGTCTTTTTTGCCCAAATTTCACACTTATGGGTTACCTGCTAAAGTGTTTGCACTACATTTATTCACCATAGATTCCATTTAAATGTATCTTATTTCTGTTTTATTCATATGTTTCAATTTGCATTATGTTTATGGGTGTAGTTAACACTTAATAGTAAGATTAGACTTATGTTTTTGTTACCATGTATGATCTTATTTGCCCTAATTTCACGCTTTTCTGTTACTTGTTAAATTGTTTGCACTACATTTATTCACCATAGATTCCATATAAATGTATGTTATTTCTGTTTTATGCATATGTTTCAAATTATATTATGTTTATGGGGGTAGTTAATAGTAAGAGTAGACTTATACTTTTGTTATCATGTATGAACTACACTAGGGCGCATGAAAAGTAAGCGTATCCATAACAGATACGCACTTATGAAATTAAAGAATGATCCCTCAAACCCAATAATAATAGATATGGACGTAGATGCATATGATTCTATCAGGATTACCCCCATACCAACCATTGCAAAACATGGAGTTCTGACTCAAAGGTCAAAATTCAAACCTGTTTCAACTGTTAAACCAATTCAGAAAGAAGGGAGTTTTTTTTATTATTTTTTGAATTAGTTATCACACCAAAAAGCATAGTCTTCATTATTTTTGTTTATGCCTCGGTAGCAATACAAGGTCAACATTCCGGACATAGTGTTTCTGTTGAAGTGCTTCATGAAAATCGTTCAAAGCAGAAATGTGATCCACATTCCACTTCCCATTCACCTGTGCATGGTTATACAAAATCAGGTAGCTCATTAACACTGACTTTTTTAATTTGCTAGTGTAACTCATTTATCTTATTTACTGTCTTTTGACTGATATATTGTATTTTCCACCAAAAAATTTACAGATATTAGAAAAATGGTGTTTAAGACCAAAGAGAAACAGCAGTCATCACATGATGACTCTGATTTTGAAGACCCTAACCCATTTATCAGCCAAAATAAAAGGAAATCGCCTCCACTTGTAACAGTCAAAGTTGTGCAACATCAGGAGAAGAAAGCTAGAGCAGACGTGGCCAGCCCTCAAGCAATTAAGACAAAAGTTAAAGTCAAGAAACTGGAAAACAGAAAATCAAAAAAGGGAGTTCTAGTGGGTATTCCAATACAACCAAGGCGAATACATATTCGTACGTCACCAAAAATATTATTCTCCACAATGCACGGTCTGACGAATGGACAAAAGGAATATTTATCATCTATTGGATTTGGTCCCCTTTTAAATATAAAAGTAGATGGGTCAGCATCACGAATTGGGTACTATGCGGTCAACAACCATGATCCTGAACGAATGGTATTGACTGTCGAGCGGGGTGAGATACCAATTACTAGGCAATTGATACATGACATGTTGGGTCTCCCTTTGGGAAATATCAATATCAATTCATTAAAGTTCACACCCGCTGAAGACAAAACTGTTGATTTGTGGTCTGTACAGTTCAAGTCAGAAAATGATATTAGGCCCAAAGGCGTACAAAGGGCGATTAAGAGATTAAAAGATGTTGGGTTATTGTTTAAAGTCAATTTTTTGGTGCTCATTTGTAACACTCTTGGACAATCCAAGAGCATAGGCACATGTGATGTATCAATGCTTGCAAGGGTTTCAGAGGATTTAGATTTAAGCGACACAGATTAGTGTTCATATGTGTTAGAGTGTTTGAAAAATGCAAAACATGCATGGAATTCTATGAGCGATACATCTTACTATGTTGGTCCTATCGTCCTATTGACGGTACCTATCTTACAACCTAACTTACTACATTACTTCTACTTATTTCGTTAATGACTTATTCACTGATGATTAAAAATACTATATCAGTAATGAATTATTGACTAATCCTTGTTCACTAATGATTTATGCATCCCTTTTTTGGTTAACATATAAGCTTTATACCTGGAGCATGTTTCATGTGATGCTGTTACGATCGACCGTGGAAGACCTGCTATATGTTTCTGGGATGTGGAAACCATATGCTTACGTGAGGAGTATGAAATCAGAAATGGTGGAATTCGTACTGGTGAACTTCAGGATCCTTACATACCACAGGATGATAATGCGGAAAATGTTAACTTGGCGAATGGATCAGTTGAGGTTAGAAAAATTCCGCATCATTTTTTCATATTCATCACATATTACTAATCTTTCATCATGTTTTCAGGAATACCTTTCCAACATTGAAAGTATGTTCAACAAGCTAGTTGAGGATAATAATTTGTTGGACTCAAAACTGGTAGAAGCAATCGAAAGGCATCCTCTTATTTGTGATTTCGACGAATGGAAATCCAAGATCAGAATCTTCCTTAATGATGCATCCGCGAAATATGGAGGTGGCAGTTCTAATGATTCAGGCAATATTGGACCTTTATCCCAATGGTGGTCAGACAACGCAGAACAGATTAACAGGTCCTGTCAAATGGCAAAAAATTCTGTTAAATCGTTCCACAATTCACCCTTTCCAAACTGGAGCATCGGGATGACACTGGAGTTTGCTGATATCATTAGCAATTCACCACTAAAAGATATCATGAAAACTCCAAAAGACCAATGTCTAAGTCCTCTTCCATTATCAATTGTTCCTATTCATAGTGACGACGGTGCTGTCCGCGCAAGAGAGTTAAGGCCAAGAAATAAGCCCCCTGTACTACGTTCTCCGTTCATTGTACGGGCAGTTGATATAACCAAACGTATATCACGTGCTCAGAAGGACCTATCTGAATGGGTTTTCTCAACACAAGGTCATCCAAGGTATATACAAATTTCTACATATCTGATAAAAAAAATTATTTATATAAAGATGATTTAACTTTTGAGATGTTATTTTATGCAGTGACGAACTTCTCCGGACATGTGCTGGTGTAGCTGCTGAACGCTTTCACATGGAAAGCTTTTTCCCCAAATGTGAACTGTTTGGACACGTACTGGATTGCTGGAGTCATCTGTTAAATTTCGTTGAAGATTTGCGTTCCAATTTATCTCCTCGCAGACTATTTGCCACTACAACGTTGACGGTACAATCTCAATAAACACTAGCATTCATTAATTATGTCGTGATACAATCTTATACGCTTGCACATACATGACTTCCACATTTTCACATTACACCTTCAACTTCATCTTCCTAATACAATACTCACATTCATTATTAACAACCTCGGTAATTACATTATATATCTTCTTCACAGAGTTTGTATCTCGAAAATACTGCGTTGACAGAGGAAGATCGTCAGAAAATTTTTATTGAAAATTTGAGCCTATCCATTGACGATTTTGATGCAACACTGCGCGATGTTGAATTAGTATGCTTCTATATCCACTTTATATAATTACTCGGTGTTTTTAATACTTTATCAGATATTGATGTAAGCTTTACTTAGTGCATTGACAATACCAACACTAAATTTTTATTAAATCATATGCTTAATATTTGTTTCAGCTATTCCTACCAGTCGTCCGTGAATTTCATATTTTCCTTGTCGTACTCGACTTTCATCAACCAGCCTTTTGGATCATTGACAACATCAAAAGAGATGAAGACACCCACGACACATATGGTCTACTACCAGATCTCATTGTAAGATACAAATACAGATTGAAATTATTTTTATATATAAATCCATCCTTTTCTAACATATAATCCTATATCATTTCCAGCATTCATACATGACTCAATATTTGCGGTCTGTTCACCATCCAAACGCTGAAGCCTTTTCACATGTCCCAAGACAAATCCTCCAACTATCTTGGTCAACAGTAAACAATAGCACTGACTATGGTATTTTTACTATGCGTCACATGGAGACGTTCATGGGTGGAAACATCAGAGATTTCAAAACTGGATTCAAGTAAGAGTCGCTTGTACAAGACAACCAATTATCTAGACTACGGGTTATATATCTTTGCAAAATAATCAATTCCGACTACAACCTGCTGAAGGATTCAATCCTTCATCAGGTAGCAGAATTCCAAAAGCTGACTGCATCTAACCGACAACAAATATTGAAAGATGCTGCAACCAGGATCCATGACAGACTGACTGAATTTGGTTAAAGAATGTTGTGTTAAAAAGTCCTTTTGTTTACCATCTGGGAAGATTAATGTTATTTACTTTTACTCTATTATGTAGATGGATCAATGCAGCTTACCTGTCTCTATTTTTCTTTTTGATTATGTACCTCCCTTTTGTCTTCATATTATATGAAAATGTATTTTCTTAATATTATATGAGTGTATCTTGTGTTTATTGTTAATCGAAACTCATAACTTAGACTTTTCTAGCTGGCTTTTATATTGCATACGCAAGTTGTTTCAACATGTTACTCGAAACTGATATCTTAATGTTTTAGACTTTTACATCACAGATTACGCGGGTGGTATGATTTTATATAATTTGATTTAGTTACTAACAACCCCACTTAATTTCGTAATAAAACCATCATAAATGATGTCCATAACCAACTAATACATCACTACACATGTACCATGCATAGCCTTTTACTTTTTTATTTTAGTCCACTAAACCATACATAGCTATAACATTTTCTAAAATCACATACCCAATCAAAACAAACCTTACAAACATCAAGCCATATCATCATATATGATACACGTACATAATCAACACACGCATCACCATCTCATTAAATACCATGGTTGTATACAAATGACACAAACATCACCAGCATCATACTATCTCTAATAGATTGAACCAAAAAATTATCCGATAAAAAACTAAATCAACAAACAAAACAAACTGATATTATTCAATTTAAAAAAATCCAATGCAGATGTGCAAACATAAGTCATGCCATAAATAATAAATTATTAATGATAAAGCAAAACATCACTAAACTAACACTTATCCTAACTACAATTGGATTTCTCACGCACAATTCTTACTTTGCAAGTCCTTCAATTATGATTCACATATAAGTTGCATCCTGTGCACTTTCGTGAACCACTTTTTGAAGATGCAGATGCCCTCTCCGCTGCACTAACCATCCGTTTCTTAGTCCCACTTCCTTTATTATGTATCACTGGTGGGACATTAATTTCAATGTGGTCTGTCATACTAACCCCAAATAGCCTAAACACAGCTTCATCACTTTCATCCAATGCAATAGTATTAACCGGATCTTGCTCAAAAACCCTCCTCATCGTGCGTGTTGTTTTCACAAAATCTTCTAATTTTTCCTTATCATTATGAAGACGCTCCAGACAGTACTCTATGTTACTATATGCTTCGGTTAACAATTTAAAAGTTTCATCTTCCATTTCAGCAAGCCCATTCTTACTGACCAGCAAATGGCTAGAAATAATATCCCTTCTCCACCTCTGCAGAATATATTGCTCGGGTATCTCCTCAATATGATTATTCTTCAGAACTGCAAACACATGTCGACACAAAATACTCATTCGCTTGAAGAGTTCGCATGTACATTTTACTTTCTTTTCTGGCAACTTCAGTTCCACCTACATCAAAATTTTAATCCATACTTTAGACACACTTTTTTTTTAAATTTCTTTGTTTAGATTCTTATAATCATTACTGATGCTTGTACATTCAGATGAATATTAGGAACTAACCTTACACTTTGTCTTCACTTGTCTCCTTTTGTCCAAATGTGTAATCATTACTACCTGCCACCCATTAATATTTTCGACACTATCAATTGAACAGTTCCATGCTCCTTTGTATATCTCCTTTCGAATTTCTGCAAAAACTGTATTTGTATACACTTTTGATGCATGTTGCTCTAATCCTGTGCCCATCCCAAATTTATGTCTGGTTCTCTTAGTTTCATTATCAAGACGACGCTGCGTGTTACGTTGTTTTCCAATCGCCATGTCATAGTTCACCATGAAATACAAAAGGAAATTCCCATGATGTGAGTACTTATTAAAAAATGAATTTGCACTTTCAGACCTGGAAGTTGTTTTCATCAGTCCATGCATTGGCATGTCCTTAAAATAAGCTGGTATCCATGAAGTCCGCCTGCGATACATGTCTTTAAACCATCGTTTATCTTGCAGATTGTGATCCTTCATCAATGACTTCTATGCTGTTTCAAACTCAAGGGGATCCATATATATATATATATATATATATATATATATATATATATATATATATATATATATATATATATATTCCATACTAGTTTTTTGAAGCATTTTCTGAAATCCGTGTTTTTCAGAACATCCCCACTTACCTGATACACAACCATTTTGTGGTCAACACATATGCTTTTTAAACTTAAAATTACCCATACATTTTAAGATATAAATGTACATTCATCAACAAAATTCATATTTCATTACATACAACATACCTTTGCTTGTAGTTTTTTCGTTATATGCCATAAGCATAGTCTATGCTTGGCGTTCGGGAATACAGCTTCAACTGCCTGCAGAATCGCTGGATCCTGGTCTGTTAACACCAATGTTGGTTCTTTTACATGAGCTTTTAAAAAAGCTTCAAGCAACCAACAATAAGACTCAATTTTCTCATTACTAAGTAGGCCAGCACCAACAGTAACATATCTTTTGTGATTATCAATAGCTGTAAAAGGGACAAATACCATTCCATACCTGAATAATAATAGTTGTCATTATTAATGAAATCATACAAACATATTAATAAAAAATACACATCATACAAAATAACATGCACAATAACACTTACTTATTTGTTCGAAAGGCAGTCTCAAAAGATATCACATCTCCAAACTCCTTGTAGAATACCTTATCTGTTTCATCAGCCCAGAACATAGCATTTAACACGCTTTCCACACATTTATACTCAAAGGAATAATCCGGAAAATCTGTTTTCCTCTCATTCATTTTATTCACTACCAATTGTGCATCCTTGTTGCCTATAATGTTACCCAATTTTTTCCTAAAATTTTTGTAATCACTCTCTTCGGGACCAACACACTCATACCCACCTTTTAACGCATGACGAAGTTTATGCGCCTTAGTTGCACCTACATTTGTTGTTGCTGCGCGTATAATAAACTCCTTGTCTGCATAATTTAATTTTCTAGCTTTTTTTGAATGTCTGCGCTCTTCTGTGGTATAAAGAGGGTGGTTGTGCAGCTCTTGAAACTCTCTAATTTGAAACTCATTTGTTCCAATACTAACACGTTCAAACTTTATCAATGCTTTAGAATCCGTTACAATAAAGTTTGAGTTCCTATGTTTCCTTCCACTATTATTTGTATCCATTGTATCCAGGCTTCTATCTGGTATTTTCCCATCGCGATTGCAAACAACATACTTTATCTTTATTGATTTGTCATGCTGAAACCTTGTAGTAGTGTTCAACCGAACATCAAACCCAGCATGTTTTGCATATTTTCTATACATATTGATTGCATGTGTTAGTGATTCGAAGGTAACATCATCATCAGGCATAAATTCTTTCGTGACACTAGGTTTCCACAGCTTAGAAGATCCACCAGGTGAATATAAAATGCTATTGTTGACACATTCGTTTATTGAATCAGATTCCAAACCTGATCCAAACAGTTCCAATTAAATTATATTTATAAATATAATAAATTTTGTTAACATTAACCAGAATTCATTACCATCACAATCATCAACACTTTCAACTGATTCATTGTCACTTTCATATTCATCAGATGTAACTTCGTAGCCACCTTTGATTGCTTGTGTCGAGTTATCTGTTCCACCAAAAAAAATATATCCAATATTGAGTATTACACTACCATTTTTTTATATTATTGATTAAACATTAACAATCACGGTGGAATATAACTACCGTTATATAAATACATTTTTACCCTTCCATGAAATAAACAAAACTGTTTTGACTAATAAATAATTGTGAACATTAATGATTGTCTCATCATATATTCTACAATGATTTCAATACAACTACGAAAATACACCAATTGTATTCAAATCAAATCAAATGTATTCAATCATGACTGAACCAATAACATATATAGATAACCCAATATCATCACAACTACAGTAAATCATTTGTGATTATCAACCTATTCAAATATGTTTTAACGTAAAACCACATAACTCCATAAATTAAGCAATGATTCACAGATAACTAAGATTATACAACTTAATGTAATAATAACTCTATATTTGTCACTAGTAAAGTAGCTATGTTCATACAACACATCATAATCATCACTGAATTTCATTCACTACTGATTTTACTTTTCATTCATTATTGATTAACATAGTCTCACATTTAATACCCATAGAACATCAAATTCAATCACAACTGAGACCACAAACTTTCATAAATTAAGGAATGATTAACAGATAACTAAGATTATACAACTTAGTGGAATAATAACTCTATATATTGTCACAAGCAAATTAGCTACGTACATACACCACATCATAATCATCACTGACTAAAATTATTTACGCATTACACAATATTCATTCATTATTGATTATCATAGTCTCGCATTTAATACCCATAGAACATCTAATTCAATCACTACTTTTTTTACTATTGATTTTAATTTCATTCACGTCTGTATCATTGATCAGTGTAAATCATTTCAATCGAAGATAACAATTTTATTTCGTTTTAACAAAAAATAACAATTATTTTTCGTTTCACATAATGATTAAAGCCAAAAAAAAATTTATGAACTCAGACACACTTACCTTCACCTTCATCACAAATATCGATCAGTGAATTGAAGTAACCTTCATCACCATAAAAATCCCCACCACCTGTGTGCTTAATCGCAGATCGTAATTTTTTTTCACACGACTACAACAATATTGTTGTACTATTTTCTAAATAACGATTACACGCCTAATGTCGGAGATATGGTCTGCAGAAT